CACCATGTCGGCTTAACCTGTCAAATACCAAGTGCGTCAGGTGAGTTTCTTTGCCTGGACTGGCACTGAGACAGTCGGCTAAGTATGCGTATGTAAAGCCGAGACCGCGAAACACTTCGTCAATTAATCCTTGGAATGCTCGTGTTGCATTCCGGAGACCGGGTGGTATACACAGAAATTCAAAATGTCCGAAAGGCGTTTTGAGCGCAGTTCTAGAAATCTCATCAGGTGTCATTGGGATTTGGTTGTACGCCTTAACCAAGTCTATTTTCGAGAATATAGTTGCGCCAGATGATGTTGCCGTCAAGTCATATTCGTGAGGCAATGGATAACAATCAGAGTGTGGCGGCCGAAAAACATGTCAAATTATATGTTCAACGAAAAATAAGGAATCCAATGAAAATCGTGGTTGTTATGTGACATTGAAAAGGACTCTACCTTGTTCCGCGCGCTCAGAACAAATCTGTTTCTCTCAAGGTTGTATAGTGATTCAAATTTGAAAGGAGGGGTCAGTTCAAAAACCGGTGGACGCTGAACTGTAAAAGCCTAGCTCTCTGTATATACATGTATATATTTTTGGACTGCTGCTGGTGTAATTCAGTGTCAATTATAAAGTGCTTTTCCTCAAGTCGTGTTCTGCTTCTTCGCTCTACCCTGCGTGCTTGATCTGTATAATTGTTTGTGTTGTTCTATTACAGCTGTATGGCTGAAGAGAAAGTAAAAGTTGGTTGTCGTGTTAAAATAGCATCGAGATCCGTTTTTGGGACCGTTGCTTTTGTCGGAATAACACAATTCTCACCAGGTAAAAAATTTTTGTTCTCATCGTGGACTTAGGAAAATGGGTGGGTATAATACTAGACGAGCCCAAAGGGAAGAACAACGGCACGGTTCAGGGGAAACGCTACTTTAGATGTGAGGAAAATTTTGGTATATTTGTGCGCCCATCTCAGGTATGTTTTATTTTAAACGGTTTTATGCATTGCTTGCATCTCTCTATGTGTCAGCTAATGCATATTATAAGAAGTCTTTACTATCAGGGGCTCCATAATATCTTTCTCATCAATTTCGCATTACCCTATTTAGCTTTTTCAGTCCTTGCACTCCGTATTTATATCAGATTATAAAAAGGTATTCCCAGCCCCATGAAACTGGATTCCCAACTGAATATTTAGTCTGCTGGTATTCTTACTCTGCGTGGAATTATATTGTAGCATTGTTCAGACCTACAGGCACACTTAGTGGAACCTAGGCGAAGTTAAACTATCATAACCAAAATTACGGTGACTTTGGGCAACCAATCAGAATTCAGATGAAAACAGGTCGCATAATCTGTGGAAAATGCATTAATGCACATTGTGAATACGATATTACACTGAATAATTGTCGCTTATGTGTTGTAAGGATGTCTCCCAGTCGCTAACCGGACAACCTAAAGAGAAGTCTTACCATGCGTGATAGATTTTTTCATCCAGGTGAATGTTGATCGTGATACTTTGAAATCCACTGATGTTTCTGACACTTCTTTAACCTACACCTAACTGTAACCGTAATCTTAAAAGCCATAACCGTAGCATACCTGCAGTACAGATTCACAGAAAAAGTGCATGGGGAATAAGTAGAATACTGTATCTACTCTCGCCAAATTCTAAACGGTAAGCATGATTTGATTTCGAATGACATTTCCGTAAATCTGATTGATTCTTGGATGTCCACTTTTGACAGACCTTGACTTTGGCTGTGATACGTTAACTTCGCCGGGAACTGAATCCAACTGTAGTCTCCAGCCTATAGAGCTTATAACACTAGAGCATCCAAAGGGCTTAATCAACATGATGTCGGGACTTACTGTCATTTCTGTCGAGTAGTTGTTTCGCAACATTTCCTTAGAAGGCGATAACTTTTATGCCTGCTCAGCCTTTGCTTCAATATGCACCAGGCAGTCGATTTTCTTCCTTACTTCCAATTGTTAGTCTCGGCCATACCCTAATATCTTAAAGAACAGACAGAGTGCGCCCCCTGAAGAATATACTGCTAAAACATTGTCTATCCAATGGTTTATGAGACTTTAGGAATGTGTGCGATATATTCCTTGTTTTCTAAGAAACTGGACTTGGTGCTCATTGGCTTTAGATCTTGCCTTCAAGCCAGTGGACACCGGGCTCTAATCCCATTTCACTTACTGCAACCTGAGCAACTGATTAGTATCAGAAGCCTCTACATAATGCGTAATTCGTAGGTGGGTACATTAAATATGTTTTCCGGGTAGTTGGGTTCTTCTAAATATAATTCCTCACTCCCGCAAATGTTTGAACCGACACTTATTTCAACTTTAGAAAGTCACTTTGTTATCAATTGGTGAAATGTGAAGGCCGTCTCATTTTCGTTATCCACTTCTTTAGTGAAATATCTGTATACCTATTAGGCGTCAAGAATATATCAGTATGCGCCGTTATATTATCCCAGTGTTTAGTCATCAGTGTTGAGTCTGCAAAGATTACATTCATTTATTCTACACACCACCTCTTTTCTTTGATAGAAAATTAACTGTCAATCGTCTAAATTGGTTTTGTCATTTGTTACGCCTACTTACCACCTACCATGGCTTGTTGAGTCAAGGGTGGCCGTATCCGTACCCAGCCAATGAATGAATTCATGACTGTTAGTCCAATTAGTTTGGAAAAGTGCAACTTGCTTGCTGTGGTCGAAATGACTACCAAAACTCGTGACTAAAGATTGTGGGTGATTGGGATCAAAATAAATTATACAGACGCAAACGTATTCTCATCTTTTTATTTTAAATGTGTTGTCACATACTTTGTTTCTGTCCTTTTATTTCACAATATTTAACCACTTCTGATTACATTGTTAACATCACTTCTCTATTCGCATTCTTATTACCTTACATTTATATATATATATATATACATGAACCATCATACAATCATGCAACTCCTTGTATTAATAATGGTAGGATAATAGTAATATGACTCCATTCAAATACTGTATAGTCCAATATCCAGGACATATTTTAATTCTCTTGTCCCGCATTGTGCCATTTTTCTGTTTTATTATGTTAAGGACTATTTACAGTGTTTGTCTTTGAGTGATATTATAAAATGTGTCAGGTGGTTCTGCGATGATTAGTTGAGAATGCGAACCGTAATAAGTTTTCTCCATTTTGTGTAAGTCAATTCTTGTTTTTCCCGTTGATTAATTGAACGGAAATGTTTGGCTTCTGTCGACATGCGGCTCTGAATGTGGACTATCCGATGATGTCTGAGGATCAACAGTGATGTTATTTGCTGCCGAAGTGGCTTAGTGGTTAACACTGGCGTTTGAAACGACGGGGACTGGGTTTGATTCTCAGCAGAAATACCATCACACACACTGGAGATTGCAGTTACCTCTAGATGACGAGTCCTAAACGAGAGGGAACGTACTTCCGGGATTCCACTGATAGTCACTATACACCAAATAACATGACAGATATGAGTCTGGAGTTTGTAACAAAGTAAATTAACTAATATTTATTGTTAAATTTGACTCATTGAATCCAGCGTCCTTTGTTTTATCTCTTTGTTCGGCAGGTAAATATTTTAGTCCAATGTACTGGTCCCCTAAAAGTATTAATTAGATTTCATTCGCAACAGTAGTATATATTTTGTTGTACTTTATTCAGGTTGTGTCCAAAAATATCGATCGTGAATGCATCTTGCAATTAAAGAATCTAATTTATTTATAAAGAAGCAACCTCTATCTTCTGCTTAGAGGAAAGTGAATCAGTAGAGAACAAGCCTTTGCGAATGATTGAAGCTGAATTTCATGACAAGCACTCATACGAAAGGTCCAGTTCTGAAATAGATAAAGAGGTTCTGAAGGCAACCGATAGGGAGATACGATTGCGGAACGGACATTATGAAGTTCCATTGACTTGGAAAGAGGACTGGCGTAGATTACCGCCTAATAGGTTTGAGGCAGAACGCAGGCTGGACAGTCTTCAGAAGAAACTGAAAAAGGACGAAAGCCTATTAAAGTCCTACAATCAAATACCAACAGACCATGAGTGGAAGGGTTACATTAGTCGCGTTCCTGACGACTTCTCCAAGAAACGTAGATTTATCCCTCACCACCCAGTTATAAATCCCCGCAAGCCTGGTAAAATAAGAGTGATTTTCGATAGTGCCTTTAGTTTCTTATGGTATTCTGAGGGTAGACCGGACTTACCACCGAGCCTATATCAATTAAACGTACATCCCTTCGGTGCTGCATCATCACCTTTTTGTGCAGCCTATGCTTTAAAACGAGCCACAATTGACGTTAGTTTATGTGGACGTTGTTCACGACGATGGAAACAAGGGCAACTCCTTGCCGATACGTTTTGGAGACGGTGGAAGCGGGAGTACTTGACGACTATACAATCGCGTGCAAAGTGGGTTCAACGACATCGGAACTTACAAGTGGGAGACCTAGTACTAGTGACTGCGGAGCCTTCACCTCGCAATCTTTGTTCAATGGGAATAATTACAGGTATTACGGCAAGCTGTGATGGGTATATCAGAAAAGTGGATATCAAGACACCGAGGGGTATAGTCAACCGAGATGTGCGTAAGGTTTGCCTATTAGAAAATATTGAGGAGAGATAAGCACTTTGTAGGATATATAGCTGGATAGTGGATGCAGATGTGGCGAGAGTAAATTGTACCATTTCTGTGTCTTACTAGCAGGTAGAGTAGGTAAAACCAGGCTGGTTTTGAGGGGGCGGTGTTAATTCCTTTCCTACTTGTTCATTCTCAATCTTTCCTTTGTTCAACATTATACTACTTGCCATTAGTGTGTAGTGTGGATTTTATATGTTAATTTATAACAATGACATTTGCTTACAACTGCAGTTGAATTACTTCTTCTATTATCATTCTATCAATGTATAGTTCTTATTTTTCTTCTCCTTAAACATTATTTGCTGTCCTTACCCTATAGTGTATGCTTTCCTATTGAAAGTTGTTTGTTCATATTTGTTTATTCTTTGCTTGGCATTCGCGGGCCGTTTGAACCGACACGTGGATCGATCTTGACACAGCATTGCTGTTTTTACTTATTGACTGCACAGTGGTTGTGCATTTGACGGCATTTAGCCACAGATACCTCACATCTTGAGGTTTGTATATTATATATCTATTTTTATGTAATAAAGTACCGTATTGCAGAATATCCTGTATTTCGCACTTTACGCGTCACTCTACGTGTGGTTAAATCTATAATTTGGATTATCGTTTCGGATTTCTTTTGGGAGAAATTCACAACATGTATGTATTTTTTGGACTGCTGCTGGTGTAATTCAGTGTCAATTATAAAGTGCTTTTCCTCAAGTCGTGTTCTGCTTCTTCGCTCTACCCTGCGTGCTTGATCTGTATAATTGTTTGTGTTGTTCTATTACAGCTGTATGGCTGAAGAGAAAGTAAAAGTTGGTTGTCGTGTTAAAATAGCATCGAAATCCGTTTTTGGGACCGTTGCTTATGTCGGAATAACACAATTCTCACCAGGTAAAAAATTTTTGTTCTCATCGTGGACTTAGGAAAATGGGTGGGTATAATACTAGACGAGCCCAAAGGGAAGAACAACGGCACGGTTCAGGGGAAACGCTACTTTAGATGTGAGGAAAATTTTGGTATATTTGTGCGCCCATCTCAGGTATGTTTTATTTTAAACGGTTTTATGCATTGCTTGCATCTCTCTATGTGTCAGCTAATGCATATTATAAGAAGTCTTTACTATCAGGGGCTCCATAATATCTTTCTCATCAATTTCGCATTACCCTATTTAGCTTTTTCAGTCCTTGCACTCCGTATTTATATCAGATTATAAAAAGGTATTCCCAGCCCCATGAAACTGGATTCCCAACTGAATATTTAGTCTGCTGGTATTCTTACTCTGCGTGGAATTATATTGTAGCATTGTTCAGACCTACAGGCACACTTAGTGGAACCTAGGCGAAGTTAAACTATCATAACCAAAATTACGGTGACTTTGGGCAACCAATCAGAATTCAGATGAAAACAGGTCGCATAATCTGTGGAAAATGCATTAATGCACATTGTGAATACGATATTACACTGAATAATTGTCGCTTATGTGTTGTAAGGATGTCTCCCAGTCGCTAACCGGACAACCTAAAGAGAAGTCTTACCATGCGTGATAGATTTTTTCATCCAGGTGAATGTTGATCGTGATACTTTGAAATCCACTGATGTTTCTGACACTTCTTTAACCTACACCTAACTGTAACCGTAATCTTAAAAGCCATAACCGTAGCATACCTGCAGTACAGATTCACAGAAAAAGTGCATGGGGAATAAGTAGAATACTGTATCTACTCTCGCCAAATTCTAAACGGTAAGCATGATTTGATTTCGAATGACATTTCCGTAAATCTGATTGATTCTTGGATGTCCACTTTTGACAGACCTTGACTTTGGCTGTGATACGTTAACTTCGCCGGGAACTGAATCCAACTGTAGTCTCCAGCCTATAGAGCTTATAACACTAGAGCATCCAAAGGGCTTAATCAACATGATGTCGGGACTTACTGTCATTTCTGTCGAGTAGTTGTTTCGCAACATTTCCTTAGAAGGCGATAACTTTTATGCCTGCTCAGCCTTTGCTTCAATATGCACCAGGCAGTCGATTTTCTTCCTTACTTCCAATTGTTAGTCTCGGCCATACCCTAATATCTTAAAGAACAGACAGAGTGCGCCCCCTGAAGAATATACTGCTAAAACATTGTCTATCCAATGGTTTATGAGACTTTAGGAATGTGTGCGATATATTCCTTGTTTTCTAAGAAACTGGACTTGGTGCTCATTGGCTTTAGATCTTGCCTTCAAGCCAGTGGACACCGGGCTCTAATCCCATTTCACTTACTGCAACCTGAGCAACTGATTAGTATCAGAAGCCTCTACATAATGCGTAATTCGTAGGTGGGTACATTAAATATGTTTTCCGGGTAGTTGGGTTCTTCTAAATATAATTCCTCACTCCCGCAAATGTTTGAACCGACACTTATTTCAACTTTAGAAAGTCACTTTGTTATCAATTGGTGAAATGTGAAGGCCGTCTCATTTTCGTTATCCACTTCTTTAGTGAAATATCTGTATACCTATTAGGCGTCAAGAATATATCAGTATGCGCCGTTATATTATCCCAGTGTTTAGTCATCAGTGTTGAGTCTGCAAAGATTACATTCATTTATTCTACACACCACCTCTTTTCTTTGATAGAAAATTAACTGTCAATCGTCTAAATTGGTTTTGTCATTTGTTACGCCTACTTACCACCTACCATGGCTTGTTGAGTCAAGGGTGGCCGTATCCGTACCCAGCCAATGAATGAATTCATGACTGTTAGTCCAATTAGTTTGGAAAAGTGCAACTTGCTTGCTGTGGTCGAAATGACTACCAAAACTCGTGACTAAAGATTGTGGGTGATTGGGATCAAAATAAATTATACAGACGCAAACGTATTCTCATCTTTTTATTTTAAATGTGTTGTCACATACTTTGTTTCTGTCCTTTTATTTCACAATATTTAACCACTTCTGATTACATTGTTAACATCACTTCTCTATTCGCATTCTTATTACCTTACATTTATATATATATATATATATACATGAACCATCATACAATCATGCAACTCCTTGTATTAATAATGGTAGGATAATAGTAATATGACTCCATTCAAATACTGTATAGTCCAATATCCAGGACATATTTTAATTCTCTTGTCCCGCATTGTGCCATTTTTCTGTTTTATTATGTTAAGGACTATTTACAGTGTTTGTCTTTGAGTGATATTATAAAATGTGTCAGGTGGTTCTGCGATGATTAGTTGAGAATGCGAACCGTAATAAGTTTTCTCCATTTTGTGTAAGTCAATTCTTGTTTTTCCCGTTGATTAATTGAACGGAAATGTTTGGCTTCTGTCGACATGCGGCTCTGAATGTGGACTATCCGATGATGTCTGAGGATCAACAGTGATGTTATTTGCTGCCGAAGTGGCTTAGTGGTTAACACTGGCGTTTGAAACGACGGGGACTGGGTTTGATTCTCAGCAGAAATACCATCACACACACTGGAGATTGCAGTTACCTCTAGATGACGAGTCCTAAACGAGAGGGAACGTACTTCCGGGATTCCACTGATAGTCACTATACACCAAATAACATGACAGATATGAGTCTGGAGTTTGTAACAAAGTAAATTAACTAATATTTATTGTTAAATTTGACTCATTGAATCCAGCGTCCTTTGTTTTATCTCTTTGTTCGGCAGGTAAATATTTTAGTCCAATGTACTGGTCCCCTAAAAGTATTAATTAGATTTCATTCGCAACAGTAGTATATATTTTGTTGTACTTTATTCAGGTTGTGTCCAAAAATATCGATCGTGAATGCATCTTGCAATTAAAGAATCTAATTTATTTATTCCTCCTTTGTTATCCAGCTTACTCTTCTAGATGGTCCGGAAAGATCAGACGTGATGAAGTTATCCGAATCAGGTGCCACTTCAGAATCAAAGGAAGTTACAAAACTTTCTGGTTCGACATCTTCGTTGTCTGTAGGATTGAAAACTCCTGAGACAGTTAAAGGTATTGAATGTTTTATTTTCTGCATGTTCGTCATTTATCTACTTCGTTTTGAATCTTATCACTAATATGTATAAAAGTAATGTAATGTAGCATTTTAACCCCAAGGGAGCACATAGTGTTATTTACATCAATAACATTATTTGTCAGCTGAAGTGATTTGTATGCTTACTTCATTTGTATTGCCTGATAAAGGAGTAAGAAGTTTTGCTACACTCAATTCATTACCCATTTATAGATGGTGATACTAAACAGAAAACTGTCTGTTGTATGGAAATTAATGTCATAGCTGAGATGCTCATGCCTCCCATCTGAACATTCTATAAGATGCTATTAACCACGTTAGCTCACAGGTTGCGAAACAAGTCAATCAACTAAGGTAGAGACACAGGCATATCGTGATAACAATTTCATCGTATTTTATTATCAGTCATTTATAACTTGGATAAACATTTCACTTTTTTTCTTCAGTGTTATCGGCTTTACTCTAATCGCAGAACTGTCAACTGACATTGTGCTCATTACTTTTCAGGAGCTATTGTGGTAACTATCTCCATACTTGTTGTTCATGTATTTTGAGAAGTCATTTTATATACTTCAAGGTAGTATTTAGGCATCTACTGAATGAGTTCATCAGTCCAGTTGTTAGCGCCAGATGTCCGGATTCGCCCTTTCAACCAGGCAGCTTAAAGGTAGTAAACATGAATTACGTAATCAAAGGCTATAAACGCGTAAGCACATGAGACGACTTCTAGAGGAAGACTGAAGTCTACCCACCGTCGACCGTACCAGGTCGTTAATTGTAGCCGTATACCAAACTGAAGCTGATCAATTCGTGTCAGATTTATCAGCAGGGAATCACGTAAATAAGCTAATACTGTCAGTGCGTGACATTACTCAAAACTCATTTTTCAATTCTGAGGATAAAGATTAACTGATTGGTAAAGAAGAATATGTAAAAATATAAAAGGTCACCCTGTCCCTTTATAGAATAATTTTATTTGGGGAGAAAAACAGTGATGCAACATTTTTTACTGATGACGTTTCGACAACAATTTATTGCTTACAACTATATCAAGGCACTCACATAACTTTTAAACTTCGTTTATGTAATTCTATTATTTCTTATCCATATCTCCAGTATACCAGCGTTACGTTATTCCTACTCATGTGTTACCTATAGATTAAATGAAGAAAAATTCAATGCTCGATTTCTCTCTCCACCTATTTATATTACTTTTTAGAACTGTAGCTCTCTCCCCATTGTATTGTGTGATTTTCATTTTTGTGAAGTCCATCATTTCACACTAAGCCAAATTCGTATGCTCCAATAATCTGACCAAACAACTGGTCTTATAGTTGTAGTTGATCTCACAGTCACTGCAGGTCATTATATTGATTAAATAGTTTTGTCTAATAGGGTCCCTTAATCTCTGAGTTACTTTGTAGGTTTAAATTCCACCCTAATTCCTGCCTTGTTATGAATCCTACGTCGAGTTATTTTATCGAATGAAATGATCCCATGATATGGAATTATACTCTGTTCCTACATCAAGGGCAACTGCGTTTTCTTGTCTAGAAATTCGCCAACATTTTTCTCTTACTTAAGGAGATAAATTACTAGACATTGCGTTCCTAGTTACTTATTGCATTCTACGTTGTTATCTCTCTTTCTCTTTCTTGTGGAAAATACCCGGTGAAGTATCAGTCGGTGTTGAAGGCGGTTCAACTCTCTTACAGTTTAAAAATCTTGAACAACAAAATGAACGAATGAAAGGAGCACTGGTCAAGCTACGTGATTTGGTTAATCAAGATAAATCGGAAATTTCAGCTTTAACTAAACAGGTAAATTCCTGCTTAATAATTTTTATGTATGATGCAGTGAGCAAAGAAAGAAACTCGATGAAGGTAAAGTTGTAATTTTGATGTTCTTGCGTTCTTTGAGCTGGCTGATTTTAAAACTGCGAAACTTTCATGTTCCTTCCGAACAACATCTTCAGTACAAGCTTTTTATCAAAGCGCATCGGGTGCAGGGTTCTAGTCTGAGTGGAACACCAGCATACGTACGTCCAGATGATGAATCTCAAATAGGACGAAGTGCTCATCCTACATTCCTCTGCTAGTCACTGTTATCATAGTAAAGGTTTTTCTAACTTATGAGATAAGTAGTGAATGCACTCAACTTACCAATTCAATATTTCTAAACTTATTAATATTCTGTACACCAATCAAGTCTACTTTTAAGAACACTAAACAGGCTACCAAAAGTTATAAATATTAATGGAGCTGTATAGCTGAGTATTGTGAATTCTTCACATATTGGCTTCAACTGTGTTTTGAATTTCGTTTATTCTTCCAACTCTTCTTTTAACATCAACTCACTCATAGACAATATCAAAGTTTACAGTTAAGTCTGAGATAACAGTTTGTCTGAGTGGGAAAATAAAGCCTAAAAGTGAATGGTCGAGCAAATGGAAGTGATGAATGATGTGATAAGAGTTATTTACCTCTGTTGTCTTACGATTTTTGTGAAGCTCAAAATGTTATGGGGACAGTCCAAATCTGTGACCTAAAGTCCAATTCGAAAATAAGCAAAGCAATGTCATGATGCATTTTATCTTAATTTTGGTAACTAAGTCAAATCTGTAAGCTATTTTTACCTGTACACATTCTGTATGGAATCAAGGCGTTTTAAACTCGTCACATGGTACCCCATATTCACCAAGCCTTCATTTTTGTGGCAAAATTTCTTCCACATAATAATGCTGTTAGTAGGACGCCCGTGTAAACTCTATGAAAATGTGTCTATTAGTAAGGTATTTCGAGAAGGTTAGATCAGCTGAGATTCTTTGGTTGTACTTGGTGCATTTAACCGCCATTTATCGCTGATTTATTGTTATTGTCTATTATATCTGTAACGGCCAGTTAGATCAGTTCACTCTTATTGCTTTCTTTAAACTAGACGACTAATGGTAGTAGTAAGGTTTTCACCATCACAATGAACTATACAGTCAGAAAATAGAAGTTAATTGGTGGATGGTGACTAGCAATAGAATCCAGGATGCGCATTTCGGCCTATTTGGGACTCGTCAATTGGATCTAGCTGTATTCCGCAGTGAGTGATGATGTCCCCACTGAGGCTCGGACGCAGTGCCCATAGCTTCAAACGCCAAAGCGTTATCCACCAGACCACTTGGGCCAAGAGGGCCACCTCTTGTGCAATGGGTCATAATAATTATTTAATTCAACTGGAACTGCCCCATATGTGTGCAAAGTTCTATGTTGAGATCAGTAAGTTAGTCAGCTTTATCTGTATATTCATTTATACTAATTCAGCTCACTTCTATGCTATTTTGTAATATTAAATAGCTTGAAACAGACATCACAGTCACTGACGTCTGATATCGTATTGAGATTGTGGGAATTTCGTTGTAGGGATTTGGATTAATTTTACTGCATATTTCGTCTCAATCCAATATCAGTTAAAGAAATTATCAAAAACCATAGAACACTAGACAGTGGTTTTGTCCCAACTTGTGGCTCTTCAGCAGCATGCTAAATAGTCAACGGAATCAGCCTTGTGACATGAAGGTCCTGAATTCGACCTCCGTTGGGGACGTGAGTGCGTATTGCTGAAGAGTTCTAATCAAGTACGAAACAGTTGTCTGGAGCTCCTTGATTTTGAATATTTCCCTAACTGATGTTGGTTCACGACGAAATCTACACTATCACATTGTATTTACCTACTTTTTATGAGAATTTGAAATACCAAACTTTAAACTGAATAATTAATTTTGTTTATTTGTATTTTAAAGATTACATCTTTAGAATCAGAAGTTAGTCAACTTCAAACAGAAAAAGAACGATTAACAAAAAATTTAAAAGATAGTGTTGAACAAATTATTGAATTAAAAGAACAAGTGGATGCTTACCTCGGCATTGATACAATGGTCAGTCAGTTGACACAACGTAATTTAGAACTGGAAGAAACGCTTGAGAAAATTAAAGAAGAAAGAAATGATCTGGTATGTATACACATGTTGATGTTGATATGCTTAATAAATCCTTCATATGTATCCCTGCAGATGTTATGATTCCCAAATCTAATAGTATAAATAATGACTGCTTCTCGTGTTTTAACACGAACGATGTCCTTAATTGTCTTCAATCTCTGAAACCTACCCAGTCCCTTGGTCCTGATGGAGTTCCTGCTGTTATCCTTAAGAAGTGTGCTGACATCTTATGTTACCCATTAACCGACATTTTCAATGAATCCTTTTCCCAAAGTATTATTCCGGACTCATGGAAAAATATCTAGGTTGTTCCAGTACCTAAATCAACAAGTGGACCTACTGTTAAGTTTCGACCGATTGCTATTACCTCACCTTTTTTAAAAGTTATGGAAAGACTTATTTTACTTAATCTTGAACCCTCTTTAAAGCCTTTTAATGACCCCAACCAGTTTGCCTATAAACATAGTAGGAGTACCTTAGATGCCGCTGTTGTTCTACATCATAATATAGTCTCTAGTTTAGATAGAGGAGCCAAATATGTTCGGTGTGCCTCCCTTGATTACACATCTGTATTTGACTCTGTTCCTAGGTCTCTTGCTAAGTAGAAAACGGGCTTGAGTATAAACTGCAACTCAGAGATGTAATTGGGTAATTAAAATAAAATAAAATAGAGTAAATGAGAGAAATTCTGATGGAAAGAAAATCGGGTAGCCTAGTTATTTAAGCAGACCATTATTGTTTGCTCTGATTTATTCGTAATATTGGTGCTCTACAATCTTTTATTTACACGGTTTGCGGAAAACTGTAAATAAATCGTTGTTAATGTAACAGGATATTATGAAATATCTTTAATTTCTAGTGTAAATGTAGTTCACACTTTTTTTTGTCTCACTTTACCCACTTACCTAACTACCGTTCATTCGTTAGTTAAACTACTATGGAATGGGAATTAGTTGTAGCATTTCTACACTCAATAATGACGAAAGTTTCCTGCAAGCGATGTGACTCCTTCATATTTCTAATTAATTAACTCTAACTAAACGGTCGGTTAGGAGCGGACAGGTGGTGTTCAATCCATGACGTGTTGTCATGGGATAGAGAATAGTTGTCATTAGTTTAGCATCTCTTGTTGCACCGCTACCCCGAATGACAGTCCAAATCACTGACTTGAGTTGTTATCAAATATGGCTGAGAATCGTAATCTGAGAGTAGCATGCGGTGATAAGTCCCCTGAATAAGTATGCTTGCGAGTTTGCATAATTCTGTTCCCCAGCTACTCCATTTCTCTTCCTTATACTGTGTCTTATTGTTTTTTTTTTGTGTGGCACATCTCGTGTTGCCCATATTGTAGCAAGTTGCTGCTGAAATAATAACAAGAATGAGGATGGATTTCCCGCCGATGAAATTAGTTGATGGTCGCGCTAAAAACACGAATTGGTAGAAGTTAGAATTCATGGGCCAGTGGCTGAATGGAATACGAGCTTGCCTTGTAACCGGAAGGCCCTGGGATCGAACCCCAGTCCGTGCATACTTTCTCTCGGAAATTAGTCAGTGGTCCTCTTCAAACGGTCCTAAGCTGAATCCGTCTAAATATCAGGTAGTAAATTTCACTTTCAGACGAAAACGTGACCTACAACAACTAGCTAGCTCACATGGTCCCACTATCATTGATGGCATAGAGATTGAAACTACCTCTAATGTCAAATACCTTGGACTGAGTATTTCCTCCGATCTTTCCTGGTCCTCTCACATCTTGCTAGTTACTAGAAAGATGTTTCGCTTGACGTTCTACGTTAGGAAGTTAAGGCAGTCTGGTATAAAGCAGTCTTTGCTTTCTCAGTTTGTCAACTCTTGTATTCTAACGATCCCTCTTTACTGCTCCCCATTAATCTTTCCTGGATTACTTAAGAAAGACTTTGCTTTGCTGCGTAGGGCACTAAAAGCTGTTAGTAGGGGAAGTGGGGTTTCGTTAAACCTGACTTAGTTTTCGTGCTTATTGGCACTCACCAGCCACAGCAAGGTGTACCTGTAATCTTGAAGTAAGTCATATCCCTTGTGAGATTTGAACAAACATCACCCAGTGTGCTGTAGTCAGAGACTTTATCATTGAGGTATCCGGGCTCGCGACTTACCTCCTGTAGAACTGTATTGGTCGGTCACGAATCGGAATACCTCAGTGGTAACGTCTTTGATTGCAGCACACCGGGTGACGCGGGTTCGAATCTCACAAGGGATATGACTTACTTCAAGATTACAGGTACACCTTGCTGTGACTGGTGAGTGCCAATAAGCACGAAACCTAGGTCAGGTAGGGCTTCCTTCCGATTGCCGCCTCCAACCATCTAATATCAACAATTCACAGTGACTATTTCACTATATGTAGTGTAATGGCTAACTGGATAGTGCAATTAACGTCTGTTTTTCGGCTCTGTGATACGTGATTTGATGATACATGTGCATACTTAGTAAGTCTAGAAGATAACGAATTAAAGATGCTGGATGGTTGGTTGGAGGGTAGCTAAAAGGAATTCTCTTAGACGTGCCTTTCGTACTTACTCATACTCCTCAGTGAGGCATATTCGCAACCTTACTTCAGGTATTTGCTGCCGGTTCACTACCCAGTGCAGTGCTGCAATTGGAGACGTTACATTCGCTAAGCTATGCTGAACACGGCCATTATCATCGAATAAGGTGTAATCTCTACCTATTACTAGCTGATATTTTGAGATATCACTGAACTACGTTTTTCTGCTATAGTTCTATTAACATTATTGTATACGCTGTAGTCAACCCAGTAATTATTATTATTTCCTTTAATTCCTAGAGGAACATAGGGCTTCAGCCGTGCGTCTCCGTTGCGTTCGGTTCTCTGCTAGAGCCTTCACCTGGCTCCATGTCTGCCCACACACTTTCATCTCCTCTTCACATGACCTCCAAGTCACCCTTCGACGACCAAATCGCCGCTTCCCTTTCGGGTTCCACTGGAACGATGGCCTGTCTAGTGATGTCACCTGATGGTTTCCTCAGAGTATGACCAATCCATCTCCATTTCTTCCTGCTTATTTGTTTCACAATCGGTTCTTGGTTGGTTCGCTCCCAGAGATCCCTGTTGCTGATCTTTTCTGGCCATCTGGTCTTGAGTAGTATTGAGCGAAGACAACTGTTAATGAAGGTCTGTAGTTTGTTTGAGATGCTCTTTATGACGCGCAGTGCAAGTCTCTGATCCATATGGTAAGTAGCACTGACTTCACATTGGAGTTGAAAATCCGGATCTTATTTTTGATGCTGAGTGCTGTTGACCTCCACACAGACTTGAGAGTAGTGTAAGCTTTTCTTGCTTTCCCGATCCTTGCTTTGATATCCTCGCCAGTTCCGCCTGTAGTTGAGATGATGCTTCCTAGTTAGGTAGGTAAAAGAGGTTGTTTCTTTCAGGTTCCTCCCATTTATGCTGATCGTTGTCTGTTGTTGTTGTTCTTGTCCAGGAATCTTCATTACCTCTGTTTTCTCTATGTTCACCTGAAGTTCTATCTTCTCTGGATTCTTTTTCTGCCAATTTGTTGCTTTTCACTTGCATATCTTCCAGTTTGTGGGAAATCAGACATATATCATCGGTGAAGTCCAGATCCTCCAAGTTTTTCTTTTGTGTGAGTCCATTTTATGCCTGTTTCCTCATTGCCCGCTGTTTGACGCATTATCCAATCTACTGCAATCAGGAAAATCATTGGCGATAGTAGGCAGCCTTGTTTTACTCCTGTCCTCACTTCGAAGGATTCTATATTTAAATCTTTTTCCATAAAAGGTGATCTACTTGTGCAACCGAATGCCACAGGTCCTGGCGACTTCGACTGTTTTATACCACTTGCGTTGAAACTGGCATAGGTTTTTAGTTTTTTTTTGTTGCATGTTGAAATTTTTAGAGGTAACGAACTTTTCTGATGCTTAATAGACGGTGTTTGATGAATATGACAAACTGTGAACAGCAATTTGGAGTATTTCTCTTTTTATAACTTTTTGTAAAAGACTTACAATACCAAATTTTATCAATGTGTCTGATGTTATTATTTGTATTCCCCATTATTTATTGATTATATATTTTTGATTTATTGTATTCCTTTACGTTCCGATGGGGGAACATAGAACTTCAGGCTTCTGGAGCTTTGAAGTCTCAGTAGCAGTGGTGTTTTTAACGGGTTGGGGTTGCTGGTCAACCTTGCCCTCTCAACCTTCCCTCCTTGTCGGGCTTACAGCCGGGTTCGAGGGTGGGGTAAATGTGTGGGCTGTCTGGGAATCGAAGCCCGGACCATGTGGGAATGATTGGCAAGCATTGTATTGCTGAACCACCGAGGCATGACCACTGATTGATTATATGAGACTGAAATCCTCAATGACTATCGATGGACGCTCCAACAGAATCTGAAGATTAACACGGTGAACCAGAGTTTGCTATCACTTTGCTCTAGAAACCGACATGTCAACAGAGACTCAGCACTCTGATCCAGTGTCACCAATCAACACGGGAAATGCAACAACTAAGTTAAACAACAAATAACAGCTAATAACTGCTGCCCCTCCCCATACAGTGGCCTAATGAAAAACTATGTGTAGTGCTTGAAACGTTGGATGCTAAGTTCGAGTCTCAGCGGGGGAGAGAGGGGAAAGTGTTATGATTCACTGCGAATACAGTCACATTATCCTGCTGATGAGCTCCGAATCAGACGAAAGGTGCATTTTAGTTCCTACTGCAAGCCATTTACCACCATCTCATGTTGCTTTACACTAATGGGATGATTGGCAATTCTAATTGTTTATTGCTTTCTTTTTGTTCATCGACAGCAAGTAATAGATGGAGAAAAGTCTGGTGTGTTTTGTAGACAGACAAACACTAGTAATATAAATGATTCTGTATTCCTTAGTCCATCGAATAACAACAGTATGAACAATATTCGCCGTGGTATCGATGATGCTAACAATAAAACAACTGGAACAATGAATAGAACTCCGAGTGGAGATATGGGTGGATTGAAGCCGCCATCATTAAATGCTGGAATGGATTCTGGCAATAATATGCTTACAGACAAACCAGTAGGTAGTAGCATTGGCAGACATAATTCAATGCGATCGTTGGCTGCATCTAATCGACCAACAAGTCTATCAAGAACAGCAAGTGTAAGTTGACCAACTCTCATTTCATGTCCTTTTCGCTTTCCACTCCCCACAATCTGCTTAGTTATTATTTTTATTTCCCTCCAAAGTTTAAGGATTTCGTTTAGTATAAATGCACACAGTGATTTTAATGAGGGAAGGTCAAAAAGGCCATAGCTTTCGTCAGTGTCCGCGACTATGAATCTGTAACCGGATAAGACTTGGTAAGGGACCTTTTTGTTAGTGAGACTCACCGTATTTATACGTTTTTAGCTATATTTATGGTCGACTAGATCAACGGATAATAAACTATTCTGATTGGTTGTTAGTTTTCTGAAGGTCAAACTTTTGGGACGTGAAGTTGTCTACTGACAGTAGGTTGTTCTGATTAGTTGTTGATTTTTTGGGGGTTAAATCTTGAGGTTGTTTTCTGACCACAACGTAGGCGAGTTGCAGATTTGAGAAATAAACACTTCTATTTCTGTAGCTATTGTTTCAAAATGTTGTTTTTCAATTTAGGTTACTTCCTATCAATCTGCATCTATATACTATTGATAAATTTTGCTAGTAGTACATGGCACAATATAATAACATAGTTAAGTGGAGGGAGAGTTTAATCACCGAATCTTTGCTGATCGAATCATCCGATATATTGGATTATTTTCTACCACGATACCCAAACTCTACTCTTACACTAAGCCTGAATAATTGTTGCAGTTATTGAATGTGCCAAAAATAGCAGTTTCTTCTATAGCCTGTTATGGAATTGAGTGAAAGTGCATAGTATCTACCAGTCAACGAGGTATGAGGATGTAAGTGAAGTGCGTATCTAGGCATGTTTCTATGAGAAATTTTTAGTAGTATTAGTAGGAGTAATCGTGAGCAGAGTAATATAATAAACTTTGTGATCAATTTTGGTCACGGATTGATATCAGTTAGAGGACCATTAAAGAACCTGGGAGTACTGGACTGGTATCTCATCCTAGTTCTGGACTCTTCAACAGTACTCACCCATGGGGTTTCGAACCTAGGACCTTCTGGTTACAAGGTGAGGTTGTAGGCCATAAAGCCACTGGGACACCTGCCTGATCCGATGGTCAGTCCATGAATTCCATCTTCTGCTAATTGACGATGTTTATAACGCAACCGCCAGTCAATGTCATGGTCGAGTAACTGTTCTCCTCCCTGACTTGGTGGACTCCGCTGGTTGCGACTTCTCACTAGAACTCCACGTAACTTTCTGTATACAGGCAGTTGCTAGTTAGAATTAGATTAACTATCAAGGTGTTGGTTTGCGGGGATTTGACTGGTTACAGGATTTCATCATGAGCTGACATCGGTTAGAGAACCACTGGAGAACCTGGGTGGACTGGACAGCTGTTTCATTTTCGTTTGGGACTCATCATCAGCACACACATGAACAAGTGAAGCTTAGGAAGAAATAAGCATTCTAAGCACTGCATATCAGCAATTCCTTTTAGAATGAAACTCAGCGATTGTATACAGACCGAAATTGTCGGTGACTACTTGAGTTAACATTTTACCTCGTTCAGATTATACTTAACTGATATAATTGTTTACAAACCCCTTTATTCCTTAATTTGTTTTTTTTTTCATTACTGTAGGTTCGACGGGACAGGGATTCTGGATTAATATCCAAAGCACTCGGCTACATGTTTGGCTGGTCATAAATTTGAAACCAATTTTTGGGTATTTACCAGTTTCGATTATTGGTAATACCGGATATGTAGTTATGGTTTTCTGAGATTCATCTTATCCTATGCCATATTGTAAAATAAAAGTATAACGTTATGATCACAAAACATTACACATTTTTTTGACCTAATCCCCTCTTTTAACGCGAAACGTGATACACGTATGCACTTATCTGTATTAGTGGGGCATAAGTGTGTGTAGACTTGCGGATTGTTGATTGTGAGGCTAACAAAACGTATAAATCATAGTTTAAAATTGACAACTGTGTAAACGCAGTCATGTTCTGGACTCCATGTGCTTATCTTCGTTTTAGATTAGAAGAGAGAGCCTTTTTCAAGTTGAGTTACACTTGCAGGATGGGTGTTAAGCGGTATAATATAGTGGGAGATATTTAAGTTATGTGAGTAGGAGAGTTAATCAATCAGTTTGTGAAGCTGCATCGATTGAAATGGCAGGGGCACATGTTACGCATGCACACCAAACCATTGCTCCTCCTCGTCGATTGATGTTAGTTGACGTCGGGTTGTGTTGGAAAGCGAATCGAAACATGGCAACAATGCATGCAGTTTTAGGCTATGCGTTTAATCCATGTAGGAAGGTGCAGAGATGCTAGTAACCACCAGTGGCTTGAAACTGTTGGTAACATTTTTTCTTTCTGTACCTGTATGTGTTTGCTCTATTTGTGTGTGTGTGTGTGTAAGGTGGCAACTTTGAAGTGTTACACTTTATTGCATGTTTGTGCGTTGAAAATTCATTCCAGATTAGCCTGTATGAGAGTAGAGAAGTGTCTGTTAATTATTTGAACCAGTACGTAATGGTTGCGGCCAAAGTGTCGTCAGTGTCATGCTTAAGAATTTTACTATTATTCTTTTTATTCCCTTTGGTTCCGAGTGGAATACAGGGCTTCAACAGCGCATCTCCACTTTGTCCTATTCTCTGCTATCCTCTTTAGGCAGGTCCACGAATCGTCCATAATCTCTCATCTCCTCCTCACAACACCAATCTCTTCCATGTCACCATTGATCACACTCCCGAATCGTCGTTTCCCCCATTCTGATTCCACTGCAGCCATGACTTGGCATGCGATGTCATTCGACGGTCTCCTCAGTGTGTGTCCAGTCCATCTTCATTTTCTCCCACATATTCGTTGAGCAATCGATTTTTTTGATTGGTTTGTCCCCATAATTTCTCGTTGCTGATTCTTTCTCGCTGGCTATTTGATCTTTAATATGGATTCAGCGAAGGCAGCTGTTGTTGATAAATGTCTGCAGTTGGCTTTCGTGATCCGCTGGCCACGTTTCTGACCTATATAGAAGAAGTGACTGGCTTAAGATTGGTGTTGAAAATCCGAATCTTGTTCTTTATGCTGGCTGAGTGCGGAGGATGTCCAAACTGATTTCAGAGTGATGAAGGTTTGTCTTGGCTTTCCAATTCTGGCTGGCATTCACATCCTCACGCGTGCTGGCTACCTGTAACTGAAACAATGCTGCCGAGATAATTGAAGGAAGTAACCTCTTTCAAATTTCTCCCATTGATGATGACTGGTGCTATTTGCTCTTGATGTAAGTATAAAACTTGGGCACAGTAGTAGAGTATAACTCCATTATAGATGAGATTTTATTTTCATAAATCACACAGTGTTGTACAGTTATATTAACTGATGACTTATCGAGCACAAATTATTGCTCATAATCATATGTCTCCGACTTTGCTCTGATCTGTGGTTTTGTGGTTCAGTTTCTGAATGCCAAACTTGAGTTGTGGCCTGTCTTCATTTGTTTTGAGGGATTTCATCTTCACCTTGAAGGTTCCTAAAACTAGATGACGGTGTGAGCCCACATCTGCTCTCCTTGTCGACTTTGTATCCAGAAGACTGCGTCTTCACATCCTTGAACAGTGTTGAGATGAAATCTATCTGGTTTGTGGTATTTCCTTCAGGCGAAATCCATGTTGCTGTGAGTATATCCTTGTGTTTGTACACACTGCCTCCGATCACCAGATCATTGAAAGCGCAGAATTCTGCGGATAATTCTCCGTTCTCATTCATTTCTCCCAGAGCCTCTCGATCGATGATGAGTTCTCTTCCTATATAATTTGCTCCCATTTCGGCTAGCATTCATATCGCCTGTGAGGATTTTTGTGCCAGCTTTCGGAATGTTGTCCATTACTGTTTGTAGTTGTCTGTAAAACTCTTCCTTCTTGTCTCGTTCCGCATTGTTTGTAGCACTGTCCGTAGCATTGGATAATTGTGACCTTCCTTTTGATTTGAATCTTGTTGTCATGATCTTGCTGGAGGAGATTGGTTCTTACTGTATTAGGGCTTTGGCTGCCACTGGTTACATCATGATAGCTATTGACTGACTCAGTGTGCTCGTAGTCGTCGTCTGGATGACAGATCGGAGTAGATTTTTGACTCTCCAGTTGACAATTTTGACAATCCACATCCATTTCATCTGCTCTCGCAAATTCCCAGCACTTCTATACCTTATCTCCTCATTTCTTTGGCTAACTCGGCAGCCTTTCCAGCTTTGTACATTGTACGAACACTCCACACTCACATTGTTGTTCTTGACATTATTGGAAGACGACACATCAACTGACTGGCTTCCCGAAGGCTTTCACCAGCCTGCTATGTCATTTCGCCTCTCTAATTCCAGAGAGAATTAAGTCTGATTTGTTATATTTTCTGTATTTTTCCTGTGCACTGAAGTTTGTGTAGCAGATTGATTGTTTTGGTGGTGTAGGATCGCTACCCCCCACGTCCGACCTTTACTCTTCACGCGAGTTTGGGACCGGCTAGAAAGCTAGCGAGCTCGTAAACGAGGTGAGGTTTTATAAACTGGAAGGTCAAAAATATTCTGTTTATGAAGAATTTAGACGTTTTGAATAACAGTCTATCAGAAAATATGGAGAACCAGTTGTCTGCATCTTCGACAATCATACGTCGTTCTGTAATCAAAGACTGAAACTGGTTGTTCAACTAAACAGTGTACGAGACTGTGGACGGCTATGGTGGCATTGTACTGATTACATCTACATTGTAAACAAGACTAGTGACGCAATCGGTCATCATCCCGTGTCAACTCCAGGCAGTTATTGTCAGTATTCTATGATAAGTCAAAATATAATGTGACTTAACACAAAAATGCACCAGTTTATCAGGATATCATCACCAGTCGTCCAGAAAATTAGACATCATTTACTGATCGACTGACAAAAGCCGTTAGGTCGCGGATAGTACGCGACCTAATGGTTGTGTGCAAGGTTTGAAGAAGGCTGTGTGTTATTTGCACGCGCCTCACCCTGATAATGTTTTATTCTCAGCACGAATACAGAGGGCTAGTTTCGCATATGCCAGTTTACGCCGTCTCTGGCGTAGACGCGATATCCGACTATCGACCAAGGGGCGTGTGTACTGCTCAACAGTCCGCTCCGTCCTCCTTTATGGCTGTGAGACCTGGCCATTGAGCGCAGAAGGCTTGAAAAGATTAGCTGTTTTTGATCATAGGTGTCTGCGTCCTATCTCCCGCGTGAAGTGGTATGATAAGGTGAGCAGTATTGAGGTTAGGAGTCGACTGCTAGGTAAGGAGGGGAAGTCAGTCGACGAGACTGTGAATTTACATCGACTGAGATGGTTTGGACATGTGCTACGTATGCCTAGTCATCGCCTTTCTCGACGGGCCATGTTAGCTGATATAGGGCCAGGCTGGTTAAAGGGCTAGCGGTGGTCAAACGAAAACATGGCACCAGTCAATGAAATCTACAACAGTTAGTCTAAGACACGTAGGAAGGTGTAGACTTCCTGGTTGAGGTCCTCGGGAAGGTAAAAACCAATATATATATATATATATATATATATGTAGGTGCTTATATCCACAACCAATCAGGTGACTTGGTTTCTTCACATATCTATGAGAAATATACATGTTATAAGAATAAAACTTGGGCACTGTGGTAGAGTGTAATTCCATTATGGGTAAATTTTTATTTTGATAGAGTCTCACAGTGTTATACAGTAAATAATAGCAAAATAGCAAATTATAAGTAGTCGCTCCATTGTACTATGGTTAAAGTTTAAGTATGATTAAGTGGACTGACACACGTGTCTGAGTAACGTTCTACGTTGATTCGTCATTCATTTATTAGATATGATTTATAATTAATAGATGTATAAGTTATGTATAGATACACTGTTGTCAAGCAAATGGGTCATACCCTCAAATCCTATTCTATACACGTCTTATGACTTATGGGCATTATTGCTAGAAGTCATATGATAGATGTAGCTGATTGGCCAGTTGACATCGCTGCTGAGATGATGCACTTCCTTCTCTACCATTTGTACTGTTTTTGTGTGACTGAGAAAACTATGAAAATCCAAAGTATAAGTACTACTGCCTCAAATTATAAGCAATGGAACTCAGTATGTCAGGGTTCAATTCCCGGCCGACACACTCCTAAACCTCGCCTAACCAAGTAGTAAACCTGGGAAAGAGACGTTTGGCCATGAGGCTAGCAACCATATTTCTCGAAAGAAAACAAAACATCACTGCTAGTAAAACTTCAAAGTTTGAAGTCCTATATTCTACTTAGGACTGAAGGAGAGAAAACGAATTTTTTTAAGCTGGTTATAAGACGACAACATTCTCACTAGCATGGACCAACATAAAGAAATAAAATGAATGATTGTAAAAGAGATACTGTAGGAACATTTAGAATACATGAAAACCTGTTTTTTTCTCAGTCCACTGCCTTCCGACTTGAATATAGGACTTAAGGCTTCAAGTTTTGAAGACTCAGTAACCATTGTGCTGCTTCTTATGGGGTGGATTTGTTAGCCGTACACCCAATCTTCAGTCTTTTGCGGACTTACTCTGAACTGGTAAACTAGTCAATTTTTATTAGTACATCGACCGGGAATCGAACCCCAAACTAGGTGCTTAGTTAGCGAGCATTTTACCACTGAATCACTGATGCACCCTTTTTGTCACACATTTAAATAAATTAGTTTGCTCAGTGTTCATTGTTCCCTAAATGGAAGTCAGAATGTGGTGACAGTCGTCTGCAAGCCAAAATTATAGACAGCAGTCCACGTCAATGTTGACGTCCCTAATCGAGGTCATGAGAAAAAACAAGAACAAAGCTTAACTTTGAGGACTTAACGTGTGCAGATACGATTCGCAGATATATGGCTTAACTTTCTGAGAAACGGTCACAAGCAGTACAGAATAACCTTCAGTTAGTGGAGAAACAACCAATAAGAAGAGGTTGTTTCTCCACTTACAATAACGCTAATAATAATGCACATAGGAATATATAAATATCTCTTGATTGTATTTAATAAACGATCTGTCGCCTGGACCTTGTCTTCTGTTGTTATAAGAATGCTGAAGTCTACTTCTGACAAATCAAGGC